TTCCAGTTCGGGATTTGTTTACGCTTATTCGTTCGTTTGCCTGCCCAAAACCGCCTTCATTTGTGTACTCTTTAGACGCATCACAGCATCAATCACAACATCAGAGAGTAATATTCTACTCGCCCACTAGATCGAGCCATTATTTTCTTGGATGTTCTCGACTCCTATCTGAAAAGCACCATTGGAGCTCTAAATCAGTAATTTATTCGAAGCACAAATGTGCATTGTGTTGTAAATTGATGCGGCGGAGTGAGGATCAGGAAACTGAACGAAAATGTGACAGTGTTTTTGAGCGAGCAAGATTTATTAGAACCGGGATATTTCAATGACATTACACACGGCGTTGTACGATTGCATTTTAACGTTGTCAGCTGATCGAACGCATACACAATCACACTTTCCCAACATTTCTGTCCACTTTTTGTTGTCACAAAATTCCCAAAGTTGCAAGTTGCATCCGGATAAGCACGTCAACTGGTTACTTTATGCAGTTAAGATCAGGNAGAACTGTTCATCATTAATTTTTGTCAGTAGTTTTTATTGAGCACATTTTATTTAGCATTTTTAGCTTTTTTATGAATCCACAGTATGAATTGATTACTTTGCACTTATTTTTTGAACTTGATCAGCGATGATCACGTCATGTAAGATGTATGTATTGTTGATGAGAAATATAGTGGAGTTCATTCCATTTACTATCATGTTAGCAGTATGTTCACCTACATTCAGCGAATCTCTTGAGATCGCTCTTGTATCAAATGCACAACAAGCTGTCATTTTGAAATTATTGTAGTCAATTAGGTGAACGAAGATCAAGTCAGCATAAGTACAAGAATCCAAATTTGTTTGTCTGTATTCTCAAAACTAGCATACACTGTGGTTATTGCATTGAACTTTACATAATCAAAGAGCATCTGCTTTCACGATCTTTAAATTGAAGACTTTATATGAGCTATTGGAACGAGATAGCTAACTTAACTAGCGATTTGAGAATTCGATGGTGATTGACTATAAAATACAAATGAAACTAGTTGATGAAAGAAGATACACTGAACTATATAGGTAAACATAAACTTATTAGAGATAGGTAGTGTTATTCTTCGAAGGAGCAGTGCTATTCATAGGAGCAGTAGTAATGCAAATTGACATATGTGGAATTTGTTTGCTTGCAATTAGCTTATTTCGGTTGTGTGTTTATTCACTTCAAATGGAAGAAACGAATCAAATGAATGACGAATGCTGCTTCTTCGATTTGTACATATTTAAACAATAAAGATCAAGATTGAAGATTGAAATGATGGAGCGCAAGTATGAGGATAAGAAGAGGAATGTACAAACAAGTACATTGGTGGTGATTAAGGAATGAATAGGAGTGTTGTGTAATAAGTGACGAAAAAGTGTTGATTGGAAGAGGAAATTCGAGAAGAATGTTTGTGATTGCTTCGGCATAGGATAGTAGCTGACTGTCGACGACGTATCACTTTGTTCAAATATGACGACGACAGTTTGGATTCGTTTCGAAAAAGGACGATGACAATAATGTAGGATACAGCAGAAAAGAGTGCGGATTATTAGACAAATATTGCGATATTTTCAATAGGGCATCATTCGACATGAACGTCAGTAAGATCACACGTTAACGTCATCAAATACGCTCGAACTTCATACGTTCATCTTTTCCACTTGCCATCGTCGTTCCAATAAATGACTTTTGAGTATTCTACATGACGCACTTTTAGACAGCTAAATTCATCGAGCATGGCGCCGTACTGATTTCTCTTTAAGTACCCAATTGCCTATAAGTGCTGGACAAGAACCACAAAAAAAACGATCGAAACAGCAACAATAACCTCATTACATTACGAAGATGATAGATNAGAGTAAGATTTTACTGAAAAGAAAATCTCAACAACTCAGATTGGTATTTCAGCAATTCCATTCGTATAGCCATAGTTGAATGGTTTTTTTCTAAACTGCACTTTTTCTCTTTTTAAGAACAATGCGTAGATAAATAGTTTTGGTTTGTTGATCAATGAAAATGATCATTTGAGTAAGTAAATCAAATCAAGATTGCAACAACTAGCACAGACAACGTCTGAGTGAACATTCTGTTGGCTATGAAACTTAGTGAATGCTTTTTATGAAACGTATCAATAGTGAATGCTTTTTCATGCACATCGAGCAATTTTCGTGATGTTCTGCGCCACTTCTTTTCCTTATGAAGTGGTCAGTCACATTATTTACATGATATTCTTGTATGTGCGACCCCAACATCGCCGCATATTACAGTTTGCTCTGAATTACATCTGTGATCCTGAAGAACAGTCTTCTTTCGGAAAACTTCCATTTCGCCTTCATGAAAAGACTAACGATCTCATGTGATGAATGAGATGCACTTTGCTTTACAATACGCATGAGGAGTTATTTTTGGAGCAATTCGTTGGTGAATGCACACATGCTTGTAGGGATGGGACGCATACAGGTTCTTCCTTAGCATGTGAAATCGAAGTTAGATAGGGATTGTGACCGGAAATGGTGAAGGGTAGCGCATGGATGCAGTAACAATTTTCTTATTTTGTTTAAGCCATCCTTGAGCAAAAGTAAAACTTGACAGGTCGGTGTATATGTAATGTTATTTAGCAATCGTTGTTTACCGAATCTCCAACTCATCGGCTAAAACTTCACTCCTCATGCGGCTGATAAACAAAATGATTAGTGTAGGCGTTAGTCGTATACACGAAAGAAGAAAGCTAAAAGAGCATCGCCGAGTAGCAGCTACTTTAACGGATGGATGATCGTAAGTTGGGCATAGATAAAGGATGAATTCGGTCGTTTTGCATCATGTGATGATTTCTTTTCAAAGCCAACCGTCATGTGTTAATGCCGACGAGCGTTTCAGCGCTATTCTCGTCTCAGAGCTCAAATAAAGCATCAACCCAAACACATTCAATCCACCTACTTATATCTCTGAATATCCACATCCGAAACCAGCTATGTCTTGCTTGTCGATCACCTCTGCTTCAGTTAGCCAAACAAGTGGGGAATACGCACTTGCTTCGCAAACTCTGAGCACTATTTCAAGTAACGTATCCGTCGCAGTATCAGCGTGTAGAGTGTACTCTTGAGATGTCACACTACGGTAGTTGACGAAATTGATTCCTTTCAGACGTGAACTGAACAAAACAATGCTGAACTCAAATTGCTTTCGTATTCATATCTTCACGTTTAATTACCCTTGCTAAGAATAGGCAAAAATGGCTGACTCTTCACAGCTTCTAAAGAATTTCTTTCATAATTCGACTAAAAAACAGCTGAATAACTTGCACTCTGATTTCACTCGATACTAATTCAATTCCAAATCACAGTTTCTTGAACTCAGCCGAGCAGTGTAATGATCCATTTGAGCTAATCTGGTTTCGAGCAAACAAAAAAAACGTTCATTTCGTCTCGACTACGTGTGTTTGCGACTGCTTGTGGGTGTTAAGCGCCGTATGTGGATGAGCGAATGATTGAAAGGAATTGAGAGCTGTGTAAAAATTCATTGAATCTAAAAAGAGTGATTGAATATATGTGCTGCAACTGTTTGTTGGCTTACGAGATTTTATGTATACTGATCGATTGAATACTTTTTTTGGTTGATCAGAAAAGTAATCGTTGGTATTGCATTAATGGAGCATAGAGCATCGCATCCATACAGCAGCAGCAGCAGCCATCCATACACATCCTTCCTAGCATGGAGAGTTAGTTGAGATCATAGCGCACACGAAGAATGACTAATCCTCACAAATAACAGCAGCCTTCTTTATCATCACAATCCCGTCCACCAACACCATTTCCAAGCAAGCAGTGAATGTGCAACATTCAGCGTGTAATGTCTGTTGGCGTGGGCACAGCAGCAGCCAAAAATGTTTTCGACAGAATCAGTGTAAATATAGACATTTCGCTTGTTGATGATTGTGAAGAACAATGTGAAGCCTCCTGCATAACAGCACATCCACATATACACATTCACGTAAAAGATCGCTGGTTGATACATAAATAAATAAACAAATAAATAGATTTATCACTTCACTTACCTTCCATCCGTCAATCTGACAATTTGGATATGGATCGCTCAGACTGATGGACTACTGACTCTCTCTCTCACAATGCTTGATTTTTCTAAACATTCGCATATTCGAAGAAAAACTTTCAACGATGAAAATATGAGCCAGTTAGGGATCGACATCACATAAATTCACTTCGACTAAAATGCGTGGTATGCTAGAGAGCTGATGTTAATCAGAGAAATTCGATTGCCAAGAATTTGTATAATGAGGAAGAAGTGAAGCAATTGATCATGAGCAGCGTTACAAAAACAAAAATGGCGGTGAACTGGAAAATTTTATTTCACGACAACACCATCTTGTGATATGATTGCTTTTCTGAATCTGTTGAGCAGGATAAGTGACAAGCTTGAAAGGAAATGACTTTGACATTGACTCCCGTCTTATTAGTGAGACAAATTTCTCGCTCACTGTGAGATTTTTGAATTCGAAAATCATCGAATTTGTATGAGAGATACACATCCATGGAAAGCTTAGCAACGGTCGCTCACCTCTTATTTCACTAGGTACAAGTCCGGCTCACAGTTCCTGTGATATATAATAGCTGTGATGAGAACTTTAAAGGTATCATTGGATCAAATTTTTTGAAATCGGATTTATGAGTATGATCGTATAACAGAAGTGCCGTTGGTCAACAAAATGACACTGCAATACATCACACTCATAGATTATTGTTCGTTAACGTTAACTGATGAATGAAATATATGGTTAGCTACTGAGGTCAGAGCAGTTGTAAAACGATTAATCTTCAACATCTTATAGGGATTTAGAAATTATTGTAAGGTTTTACAAACGGCAAATTGAGGGAAGTTTTCTTGCGAAATTATTAGTTACAGTTTGCTGTTACAGCCGTCAACAAATTTTGTGTTCTTTCAGTCAGGTGAATTACCAACAATGGTGCAGCCATCAATGCTTGATACGAACACAGAGGATGGTGAAAATTCTGAAGGTGAATCCGAAAGTGCCGACAGTCCTGAGGTTGCCGATGATAGTGAGAATGACGAGAAGCAAAAAGAGAAAGGTAACTAGCTTTGATATTTGCGATACTAAGTTATCAATTTACATGAAGTGGACNGAATGTGCAGACTGGAATGTGTTTGAAAGATGAACTCTAAATTCTTTTATCGGCTGAATTACGACGAGATCTCTTTATCTACAGTTTGAAATTTTTACACCAGAAATTGCGAGAAAATTTGGAAATTGGAATATTCGAAAGCTTTGAAATGTTTGCCATTGCGATTTCCTTGGCTTTACAGCATTATCTATATTCCCTCGAATCGATGCAATAGTGTAGTGTTTTAAGCTAATTGTAAGTGAACCGGAATTTGAATTGAACGATGTTCGCAAATGTGATTGATTTGCAAAGTCGTAGAATTTGGTTACGCCGAGAGTTTTGCTTTTATTAATGCCCATTTACGACCTTTAGAGGCCACATATGGCCATTTGATTGGTGAATAGCGGTAGTTTGAAGAGATTATAGCCTAAATACGTACATATTGTCAGTTGTTCGTCGAATAACCTCAACGCAAAGTATATTTGTCCTAATTGTGATTTGCGAACAATCAATTCGTTGATAATACTACTAATGGTATAGGAATAGATATGGATGGTGTCGATGTTGTAAAAATGGATGATAGAGCGTAATATAGTAGGTGATTGATGCCGAATATATCCTCATAGCCTACTGTTAAGCCTTGTAAAACGACCGATTTTAACGGAAAGGCTTTAGTTATTGAAGGTGTAGGCGAGTCGAGCAGTTTAAAAGGCTGACAGATATCGTTGGTGTAATTTCTGATCTATATAAATAGCCACCAAATCGGGTAACAGCCCAACTGATTGAACTCCGCAGAGAACATCAAATAGATGCTCAACATCAAGGTCATCATATTGGCTAGCCCTAAAAGTTCACATCAAATCTCCAAGTGGGGACGTTTTCAGCTTTTCAATCATATAAGATATTATCTCCATCATAAATGTGGCAAATCTCAATCGTGGATGATTTTGACATTTCATACCAAAACTTTTTCTCGATTCGAGATTTATTGATAGCATGTTCTATGTAGAAGACACTTATGTGCGAGAATACTTTATTTTGCGAACACAATCCATATTTGGAATATTCTTAAGCAGATTATAACAATATACTTAGAGTACTATGATGTAGCTGTTTCACCTATACTCGTGTTTAAATAGTGTGGTCTGGAGTAATATGCAAGGTTAGGATCAAGGGTATGTTGTGAAAGTATGCAATTTACGATAAAACGTTTATAATTTACGAGATAATCTAATTTTACGAAGTTTCAGTTTCATAACTCGAGGTTGTAGACGGACATTTCCATAATGATAGACTGATAGATACAAATTCGTATGTGACTCCAATTTTCATTTTTCTGATGATTCTGTAATTGTGCAAGATTAATCACTTCTTTAATGCTGCAAAACGTTTTTCTGAAAATATTCTTTGGATTAGTTATCTCCTAAAATCAGAAGAGTTGGTCGAATCATTGATTTAAATGTGCACTATCTTTGTAACATGCGCACAATCAATTTGGTTCACTCTCTTTTTTTGAGTACATTGCCGATTGATCCGAAATGCAATCCACTTCTGCACACGACTATTGCTTTAAAACGCTCTAGAACCAAATAATATTAAAAATCTGTTCTTGGCAATACTCTTTCTGTATTATTGTGCAAGTTACTAATGAGCAATCCAAGGGTCAGACGGTCTGTTCTGGAAAGTAGCAGTAAGTATGATATAGTCAGGAAAAAGTCTTACGGAACAGCTTAAGTTATGCCATACTTGATCTAATACTTACGATTGACAAACATCTTTGGAATTTTTGAACGCACACTGTTCTAGCTTTGTTCCCGCAGAGTTTTCTCGCATTTCGGCGAATGACATAAATGACTGAAGCGCACAAACATAAAGCAAAGAAGCCCTTTTAGTCAATGGGATGATGCTGGTGTAATATTGCTATAACAGCCGAATACATAAAAATAAACACTCTTGAAATGTTAAATTCTCCTACGCTTATCGCTCAAGCCGATATCTTTCCGTCATCTTGTTTTCCCCATCCATTAACAATGCCATCAAGTTGAGCGCATTTGAGTTATTATTGAAGATAATGTTGATTCCTTGTGTGGCAGCACCTGTTCAAGTCAACACCACTCACTAGCGACTTTATATGATATTTGTGAGTTGCGAATGCGATGTAATCGTATAGCTTCACGAAATGCAAAACAACAAGCATCAAAATGCAAAACATTCTCATGCAATTTACGCCTATGCCATGTGTTGTCTTTTGAATGCGTAAAATCCTAGTGCAATAGGTTCATGCAATCCAGAGTATAAGCTTCAAGCATTGCATAAAGTGCATTGAAAAGACTGTCTGTAGATCCGGTTATCAATAAAATTTATCAGTGATGATTGCGCTGATATCAGCTATCAGCGAGAATTCATCATTGAGATGTTTTGATGTGGTGGTTTATGTTGGTAGGTTGTGAGTAGCAGCAGCAGTAGCAGCAGCAGCAGCCAAACTAGTGAAGAATTTCTTTCAGATGCGGCTCGATCGTTGACATTACAACAAACACTAAAGGAAGCACTCCGCGTCGCAGCTGCTCAACGGCAAATGCAAAAAAACAAAGCCAAAAATAACGTTCAAACAATGGCCTCGAATTTATCACTGCTCACGCCATTTCTCATACCAGGTGAATGAAACTTCTACGAATCATCA